GATAATGATAATGATAATGATAATAATATAATGATGATGATTGTGATAAACCAATATCTACAGTGAAGGTAAGTTCATAAATGTTTATATTTTTTATGTTTAATTGTCACACTCACGTCTGAATTCTCACTAGTCCTACTCAGTTTCTAATGTGTGTTCAGGCAGTCCAAAGTCTCTAAGAAGTGATTGGCAATCTGCATATTTATAGAGTGTAAAAGGTCTATAAACTCGCCCAGTGCTCCTTTCACATTTTACGATGATGCGTATAAAACATCAGCGACTCCACTATAACCAGCTTGGCATATTTGGACTAAGGGACCATATGAAGGACTACAGAACGCGTTGACACTGTATTCATAGCCAAACACCCCAAAGGTATACATTTTTTATAAACCTTGCCTTATGAGAGATTTAGTGCTGATCCTTGTTATTTTGTATGGGGTATATTTGTGGTTGCGTATAGTTCTTCTATGTCGGGTTTGTTATTTGTGTGTCGTGGTGTTTGAAAGCGCTTGATGACCCCAAATGCATCTGCATGGCCTTCACTGGCTGTACGTCTGTGAGAAAATTTTTGCCTTAAAATGCATGATTTTAAAAGCCGCTCTGCTGCATGTTTTCTAGTTTTCGTGTTTCAATGTTGCGCAACGGTGTAACTATCACGGATATTGTTATTACTTGATCATTACAGGTCAAATATAATTCCAAAATCACAAAATCTATGTCCTTTTTAAAAGGGAAATCATCATTATCTTAAGCACGCCTTTGCATCAATAAATGTAGGCTCCAGTGGAAGTGCATCATTTGAAACCTATAAACGCCTGTGGTCAACTTGTAACAAAGCTCTGCTGTGATAAACACAACATTGATCATATTTACAGCCTATTAGATAGCTGGGTTATGATTAGTGAAGCTTCATACAAGGTGGATATACGTAGGGCCCACGTCTGACCGGTCACGGAAAGATGAAGGGGTGGGGGGGCTACAGAGGAGGGGAGGTGGGGGCGGTTGGGTGGGAAGCTTGGGGAAAAAAATAAAAAGAAAGAAAAGAGCACCGTCTGTGACTGTGCCGCCAGCTTTAACACATCCCAAGCGCATGCCATGAACCGGGTTTAAGAGTGCGCAAACCGGAGGGAAGGAAAAAGAAGACGCTCACGACGCGAGAAATCCGATGAGAGGAACGGCTCTGAGAGAGTGAGCTGCCGTAGATTGTCCAAAGGGGCAGCGTTTCTCCCAGTTCCGGTTTGTCTGTCTGTGTGTGCACGCTGTGTGCGAGAGTTGGGACCCCAAACAAAAGGCTGCCATCATCCTACAGGAGATCTTCAGCTTGCGCGCGAGAGAGAAAACCCGAATCTGCTTGATGCTTAACCGAACATGAGCTCCTATTTTGTTAACCCTCTTTTTTCTAAATACAAAGGCAGTGAGTCACTGGAGCCAACTTACTACGACTGCAGGTTCCCACAAAGCGTTGCCCGCAGCCACACGCTGGTTTACGGACCCGGAGCCGCTGCGCCGGGCTTCCAGCACCCGTCCCATCATGTGCAGGACTTTTTCCACCACGGGACCACCGGGATCTCCAACCCGGGATACCAGCAGAACCCCTGTGCTCTGGCGTGCCACGGTGACGCGACGAAATTTTATGGATACGAAGCCCTTCCAAGGCAAACGCTTTATGGTGCCCAGCAAGACGCGAGCCTAGCGCAATACCCAGACTGTAAATCGTCGAGCAGCTCTAACCCCGGAGAAGGACAAGGCCACTTAAATCAAAACTCCTCTCCCAGTCTTATGTTTCCCTGGATGAGACCCCACGGTCAGAATCAAACACTATTTTCTTTTCTTATTATTCATCTCTCTTCCTCTTTCTGTACCTTAGTTTTGTCTGTTTGAATGTGCATGAGTGTTAAGTATATGCCCAACGTGTATTTTATAACACTGTATTAAAATAAATGAGGCAACATGATGGGGCAGATACAACCTGAGCTGCAGGCAGCTGTTCCTTTGCAGCACATGTCTATACAGGGCTGCTTTCAAACCGCTGAATATTACACATCCCTGCTCATAACAACTATGTTCTTTGAAGTGAAATTATTCTTCCCTTTAGCTTTTGCAAATCCTCTATTGAGAAGATGGTGGGATGATTGTATATGGAGGATCAGCATTAAATATGACACAGTTTTTTTTTTCTTACCATGTTTAGTCTTCCCCTCGATCATACAGAATCCTTTTATTCATAGTCTTTAAGGGGTAATTTGACCCACAGGCCTACTGTGGCCCAGGCTCTAACTGGTCATAATCGTGAGAGCTTTGTGGGTAATGTGATTCCAATCATCATGGGCCATTCTGATCAGGATACAGATACAAACTGCATGCAGTTTCCTTGCATCAAATGGGCATCCCATCACAAATTGTCATTGAATTTTTTTTTTTTAGTGTTAAAGTAAGAAAATCTTTCATTACAGCCTAATATCCAATAATGCATGACATTGCATGAATTTGTGTCCAGGGAATTCATCTAGTGAACCAATCGGGTTGGATTGCTATAGT